CGTTGTTGTTCTTGCAGTAGACGTTCCTCTTCTTGAACATAATATTTGTCAAGCATTTCAAATTTCTTCTCATTCATTAACTTTTTATCTTCCTTCATATATGCTAAAATATTAACGAGTTCAGAACTTGTTGAATTACTTCCAGCTTCTTTGCCCTTTGATTTTCGTAATCGCACTTTCTCAGCTTTCCTTCTAGGTGGCCTGTCTAAGGATCTATAGGACCCACCGTCAGCTCCTAAATTTACGGAGTCCGCTGTAGAATGCACAGAGCTACCAGCAGTGGCATTATGTTTTATTTTTTCCTTATTTGCTTGAGAATCCTCCATCCATTTTGGTTGATACCTTAATTCGTTCCAACAATGTTCAAACTAAAAAGAAGATTTATAGAGTTCCTTGTACAAGTTCTTGACATCAAGAATCTGAAAAATTTTACAACAAAACTTATTATCATGTCATTAAACTTATCAATTCATTAAAAATTTTACAACAAAACTTATTCACTCATACCTTGTCTTTCTTTGTCAAGCCACTTTGATTCGATCTTTCTATCTGTGCAAAGCACCCACAAAATTTGTTGGTGGCTAGCTGAATAACCGACCAACGATTCATCAAAGAATTTTGAGTACGACTAGGGCATGCCTTAGGTTTGTATTCGTGGAAGAACTCACAAACCCTTTGCCAATATGTCTTTGATTTTTGCTCATTTTGTTGCACAGCATCCAAACTAATATTAAGTCATGCTGAGATTATCATAATGTCTTCTTCTATTATAAAATTGTCACCTCATTGTTTTTTGGTGGTGGATTCCACTTGAGGAGATATTGGTGAAGATTGACTTATAACCTCATCATCTAAATTTGTTCCATCATGTATGAGATTGATGAAGTACGCACCATGTTGGAATGGATCCATGACTAATGCCTATATTTCACAATTCATAATGCCATGAGTAAGCAAAGAAAATAAAACTAGCCAACACAACACAAGCATTTCAATGAGGTATCAAGATATAGTCTAATTTGGATAACTATGAAATTCAGGTTGAAAAACACTGTTATATGTGACTATGTGCAATTACCACACTACTATGGCCAGAAAATGTTTAACTGATATGGAAGTAGTCTAATGAAGAGTGTGTACCTGATTGTTTGGTTCCCTGGTGGAAGTTCAAGTGGCATTAAGGGACAGCCGTCTTGGAGTAACCCCTTATGTGACAGTCACTCAAGGAATGCTTGTGCCTACGAGTTAGGTAAACTTGGCATTCGACAGGGATCCTGTGTGGAAATTCCAAAGTGCCATAGATGGAATATTATTGGTAATTCGAAGTATTTGAATTCAGTACACATAGCATTTGAATTAAAAATATTTGAATTGGAGCAGCCACTTGCTTTAAAAATGAGCATTTTGAATTCAGTACACAGAGTAGCTAACTGTATATGAACAGAAGGTTAAGAATTAAATGCCAAACATCACAAAGAACGCTTAGCAGCTAGTGCCATGCACTCACCTCCAATTTGTATAAGAAGAAGGGATGTAATGAACAAGTTATTGACTTCAGATGATCCATCTAGAGTCCAACCACACAACTAACAACCAGCATGAAAATTATACATCAACTAACACCAAGTAAGATAAGAGGTATCAGAGATTGATAAAATCAACTAACACCAAGTAAACATTGACACACACAAAAATACTCAAACAATCAAAACCCAACTGAGAGAGTATGAAATTTCCATGAAAAACCAGCATGAAAATTGACTATAAAAATCTGCAATAAAAACCAGCAGAAATTTCCTTTCATATCTGAGGAAGAGGATGAATATATCGATGACAGAGGAAGAACTTCGATTTCTCCGGGAAAAGGCGGAGCACCTGAATCTGAACAATGCTGCCCAGTTGAATGGTGGAAACATCAATCTTGGGGAGGGGAAAATGGGAAATGACATCAATAGTCTGATGGGTCTTGCTGGTTTTCATGGAAATGGGGCTAATAATGGCAATCTCAGTGGTATGGGAGGAGGAGGGTTTCAAGTCCAAGCAAACAACGATTTCCATGGTACTGCTGTTGTTTCCGCAGGAATTCCCAATGGTGGTCTGGCATTATATTCCAAAACACACAGAAATCCCCATTCTACTTGAACACTTGCTCAATCATGACAACACATTCAGAGATCCAACAAAAATCAAAGAAATCAACTCACCAGAAGGCCAGATCGTTCCAGATGATTCGATTGAAGTGCGCCCTAAATCCTTTCGTCCAAGTCACCAAATGTTCAGTGTCCTTCCTCTTTTCCGAATGTTCCTTTATCAAGAGAGGACTGAGTGTGCAGATCTTGATCTGGACTCAGCGATGGTGGAGCTCCTGTGGAGTGAGGATTTTGGCGCAAAAATGGCAGTCGTTGATGAGGTAGCTAGCCGGGGAGGTCTCGATAGAAAAAGGTGGCAAATATCGGCTTATCTAAATTGTCTAGCAGGATACGTAGTCTGTTGGAGCTGA